CACTTTCTTGGGCACAGGAAGACCATGTCAGCCAAGCCAGTTGCGACCCTCTTGTGGTGCTAGAGCGCCAGATACATTCCTCAGGCTGCCCATGAGCAGCAGCCATCACTTTTTCTCTGACCGACTAACTTTCCAATCCCAACACGCTTCAGGGATGGCTGGGGGGGCAGCCTCGGGAAAACCCTCGAATTCCCCAAGAAACCATCCCCGAGGCAGCGATGTTGCCGTGTGGTGTACAGTGCTCAATTCCGCCAGGAACGGAACCGACGGAACAGAACGGTGACGGAGTTCCCCATGAGACGGGCGGAAAATCGGGGGTGGGGAGGGGAGGGGAAGGGAGGGGAAAGGAAAGGACTTGTTTCCCCACTTCCCGCTTTCTTCCAGTTTGCCAGGGCCCCGGAGGAGCAGTCCGTCTGTCCTTATCCTCAGGCGAGGTGATGTCAGTGGGCTGTGCCAGGCCACATATGAGATCCCCTTTCCCACATTGTTGGTTGGCACATTCACACATTTCAAGCTCTTCAGCTACATTGTGCCCAACCCAGAGAAAGCTTGCTTGTTTTCTCTGGCTAGAGGGTTTCAGAGTCTTTCACGCCTCTACGTTGCAATGGCAGGAATAGTGTCCGCAGCACCTGTTTCACTGGTTGAGATTAAGGGACAGCCTGCGAAGCCTGCAAAGTCGTCGCAGAATGAAAAGGGAAAGGATAAGACGCAGAAGGCGAACGAACAACGTCTGGGGATCCGGGACCCTATCATCGCCAAAAAGCAGGGGTCTTCGCAAAAGGGCTCTTGTAAGTCCGACGGAAAGCTTCAGCTTTCGAAATCCACGGAGTCTTTGGCGACGACAGATTCTATGAAAGGAGCCGCTTTGGCCGATCTTTTGGCGTCGGACGTTTCGGAGATGGACACGAAATTCTCCGTCACAGCCGCTGCCGAGCCTGCTGATAGCGATAAGGTTGAATCGGACTGCCTGGAGCGGTTACCACACGGCAACTCTGCGTCCGCCAGTAGTCCGGCGAGGGAGGGGACAGCGGAAGTTCAAGGGAAGGACGCAGCGTTGGCTGCAGCAGCAGATGACCTGGAAAACTGTGACATTTCTTCTTGGCCAGATTTTTCGCTGGATTCATTCGACGGCGGGGAAATAGATGAGCTGGACATGGCAGGTTCGCTCATTTTGCCGGAGCTCGAGGAAATGTCTCAGAAGGACCAGTCGCAAGCAGAGCCGGAAGCCAGTGCCGATACGCGCCCGTCGGAGACGTCCTCCAAGAGTGTTCAGCAGAGCGAGCAGTACGAGTCGTCGTGCAAGAGCGGGAGCAAGACTTCCACGGGAAAGAAAAAGGCCAAGGTACGTCGTCGGGTGTCATACCTAAAATTGACCATATCCTCATTTTCACTATCGTGATATTTCATACACCGGCATCGCTAAATTTCCAACTTTGGTGTATTTTCGCATCTCCAGGTTGACTGGACACCGGAGCTGCACAGAAGATTCGTCCTCGCGGTAGAGCAGTTGGGAGTTGAGAAGGCCATTCCGTCTCGGATTCTGGAGCTCATGGGAGTGAAGTGCCTCACCCGGCACAACATCGCCAGCCATTTGCAAAAGTACCGCTCGCACCGGCGGCATCTCGCCGCTCGGGAAGCCGAAGCCGCAAACTGGCACAGCAGAAAGCCGTCCGATGGAATGGTCTGGCCTGGCCAGGCAACAGCAGCACCAGCAACAGCAGCCCCTACTTCATGGGCTTATCCTACTACTGCGCCTGCTCCTAGCGGAGCGCAGTCCAATCCGCCGATGATTCAGCCCCGACCCGTGGTCGGAGTGCCGCCGTATCAGCCGTATCAGATGGCTCAGTCGCACATGCCGATGGCGCATCACCAGCCGTCGATGGCGGCGAGCCCCGCGCCCGCGATGGGCATGCCGATGCACGTGTGGGGACACCCGACCGTTGACCACTCGCGGTCGCACATGTGGCAGCAGCCGCAGCACCAGGCTGCGCCGTCTCCTTATCCTCCTCCCGCGTGGTTCGCTCCCGACGGCTCAGTCTGGCACTACGCTGGGGTGAGCTTACGTCATAATAGTCCTTCCCGTTCGCTCGTCGTCGTGCGTTAGCTCAGTCCTGCGTTAGTTCTTTCCGTCTTCCCCGTCATTAATTTCTCTCTCTCGTCCATTGTCTTCCTTTCTTGCTTGGCGTTCAGGTGCAGGCTCCGTCGCCTGCGATGGACGCGTGGGGACATCCCACCATGATGGTTTCGGGAACGCCCTGCTACCCCCACCAGCAAGCGCCCGCGCTCAGCTACCCTGTGGTGCGTGTTGCTTGCCTCGCCATCGCCGATGCCTAAAGGCCCGCGTTTTCATGTCCCAGTGTTGCCCTGCATTCTCGCGAAGTTGCCTCTGTTTTTTGGTTAATCACGTTCGTCCATCGTCTTGTTCTCCCGTTCCTCGTCGTCCTCATCCGATGCGACTTCGTTGCCTCTATCATGCTCACCTTCTCCTTTATCCGCCTCTCTCGTCCGTCCCCCTCGCGTACCTGCAGGCACAGGGTGTGGTGTGCGGAGCGCCTGTGTGCGGGCCAGGGGGAATGACCCACGGCACCATGCAAGGCATGCCCTCGTCCATGGGTGTTCCCGCTCAGGGCTCGGTCGCCATGGGCGCCGCTCCCGCCGGTGCCATGCCCGGGACCATGACCATGGTGGGAACCGTGAACGGGGCTGTGAACGGGACCATGGGAGGAACGATGGGGGGGGCTATGGGAGGGGCTGTGGGAGGCATGGCGCCGGCGCCGGCGTGTGAGACACTAGACATTGCGGACGAGGCGATGCCGAACCCCATGTTCCCCCTCCCGGACGACATCTCTCTGGACTTCGCGGCCATCACCGCCAGCCTTGGGGAGGACCTCATTGAGGTATGCTCGCTCCCTTGCTTGCGCACTCCCGCTCTCCCTCTTGCTCACGCATGTTTCCGCCTTGTATATGCGTTAGAACACAAAGTATGCTCGCGTTTTACAACACAAGAAGGTACACCGTAGTTTGACTAAGCAGCATTATTTCACGCTGTGGTTGTGCAGGCCAATGACATTCTTGATGCGGCGATCAGCGAAGCCCTAACCAATCCGTCGACACCACTGCCTCTGGGCCTGAAGCCGCCATCAGTGGATGGCGTGCTGGAGGAGCTCAACAAGCAGGGCATCACCATGCCGCCCGCCACCCCTGAGGCTCTAGATGCCCTCCCTGCTGCCGAAGTCGCGGCTGTTGCTTCCGAGCTGGAAGCCATTCTGGAGCCGTAGATGCCACTTTCGGTGATGCAGACAGCAGTTTGGAGGCGCGCGGAGCAGTTTTCTAGTTTAGCAGGTGGCAGGTAGATTGGAGAGTTGAACTTTGATGTGGAAGCATGGCCTTGAGACGTGTCTCTCTCAAGGCCCGCAGATGAGATCTTCTCTACATCAACCGACAGTTGTCCCAATCCATCGATACCTCCGTCAGTTTTGATCAACTGACCAATTTGCCGATATATCAGCCGAGGGGTTCCGAGCAATGCTGCTGCTTGGTGTGTTCCCCCTTTGAACTGCAAGGCGTGGAGCGACTTGAGTTGGAAGGAGAGCGAGTTGGAATGGTGGTGGAGCTGTGATGCGACTCCAGCAAGATGCTGAGCGAAAGTGAAGGTGCTTCAAGTGGGCCTTCAGAAGAAATAGTTGGTCTTGGTGGCATGAAGGCCAGTTTTGTTGGCATCTTTCATCTGCTTCCTCCATTTTTCACTTCGTTGGGGGTGGGTTGCTTGGGATGCTTTTTTCCTTTCTTGTTCGCTGACTATCTTGCTGGGGAAATATGGGGTTAATGTTATGAGACATGACTTCTGGGTGGATGTGGGCGGGTTTTATCTGGATGGTTGGATTGCTTTATCTATCTTATCTGGTGGCTCTGCTTTGTATGGTCTGGGGGGTCAGGTGCTTCATTTGTCCCTCTTTCCAAATTTGTACACAGAAATGTAGTTTTATTTCAAGTACTCATAATTGCGTGATGTACCAGCCATTAGCTAATCACAATGTCTCCCGCACCGTGTAATATCCTCTCACGCTGATACTGATGAAAGTGGAAAGGAGGGCTACGTGAGTTCGCACATATCTCACACATTTACAGTTCTAACGTGTGGACCGTTGTCGAGGTTCACCGTTTTTCACCGTGACGAAACGAAGTTGACCGCAGTGAGTGTACAGAAGTTGTGCAACCTGACGTCGCCCTGAAAGCCTCGTTATTTCAAAAACGCCAGGCCAGCGTTACCAGAGAAACGTGGATCACGTCTACTGCCAGCACGCTACAGCAGCTTGCTGGGGCTCTGCGGCACCTTTTCCCTACGCATATCGTCAAGAAGTCTAACAGCATCGGGATCGCCGATAGGAGCGAGTCCTTTCCTGTCTGAGTCGTCGACATCGGCTTAGCAGTCGCCGGCATGGCCGCGTATCAGCCGCTGCAGCTCGCCGCCGAGCAAGACGATCGTCCGGAATTCGTTCGCCTAGGGTAAGAATGCGAAGAATGCAAGTTAATTGCGGAAAGAACGCGCGCAATTCAATGGGCCAGCTCGTTGCGACTTATCGACTCTAGTGGCCTTTCATGTAGTGATTTTCCGTGGGTGTTCGACTTCTTGTTACACTTAACTCACCGCAAATCTGTTTTCAAACCCTAATCCTGTCAGGAGACGAAAGTCCGACATACGCCAACGGCTAACTCCTGGACCCACCCCGGCCCCGAGCCACGCCTCCCCGCTCGTCACCTTCCCTGACTCCACCCCCCGACCGTCTGGCCGAAGCTTGGGCCAAGCCTCTGGTGCAGGCTCGGGGCCCGGGTTCGGCATCAACATAGGGGATTATTCTGGCGGTCTGGGGAGAGCTGATCAGGGGTATAGATCTCCTAAAGAGGTTCACGTCTCCCCATTTATTGTCACTCCCGGTTCTGGGCGTAGTGGGGGAGTCGGAAGGGACATTGGCGGAGATTTTCCGCTTTTCGGGGGAGAAATGAGCCCAGAATTGGCGTCAGTCGGGGGAACGGGGAAAGGGAGGGGGAGAGCGGAAGTGAACTCTGAGAGCCAGCCGCAGGTGCAACAAGAGCAGCAGCAGCATAGGCAGCGAACAGACAAGAAGAGGAGGGCTCGGCTGAAGATGCGAGCTGTGAGTCGTTTGATGCGAGCCGCGTGTGTCACACACTGCGCTGCACCCTGAAGCACCATATGCTGCACCCTATCGCACCGCTTTAGTCGCAGTCGCGTCTCAGTTCTGTCACATCACCACCAGCACCAACGAAACCACCACCACCTGCGGCTCACATGGTCACACCCACCACCCACCACCATCATCATCACTGTGATTGCCTCAGCTCAGTTCCGTCACAACGTTGCTACTATCACCGTGCTTGAAGTAGTGTTTTGAGACGTCTCAACTCAAAACACTACTTCAAACACGTGGTCACCACCTACGGCTCACATGGTCACCACACCACCACCCACCACCATCACCGTGATTGCGTCAGCTCAGTTCCGTCACACCGCCGCTATCACCGTGTCACGCGTGCAGGAGGCCCCAGTGGAATTTGAGGACCGTGGAGAGGAGGTGTACGAGCGCTTTGAAGGCGTGCTGGCCGCTGCTGTGCGAGGTGAGAGGGGCGCTGGAGTGGTAAGTCAGGCGCTTGGCGTAGCTTCTTATCCTGGCCCTGCAGGCTCAGGCTAGCATCTCACCCTAACGGCCCCAGTGGACGCGTGGAGAGGAGGTGTATGAGCCCTTTGAGGGCGTGCTGGCCGCTGCTGTGCGAGGTGAGAGGGGCGCTGGAGTGGTATGTCACGGAGAGGGGCAGTTGGAGTAGCTAGCTTCTTATCCTGGCCTTGCAGGCTCAGGCTAGCGTCCCTCTCTAGCATCATCCCCCAGTGGACTTTGAGGATGGCGGAGAGGAGGTGTACGAGCGGTTTGAAGGAGTGCTGGCCGCTGCTGTGCGCGGTGAGTCAAGCACTTGGAGTAGCTAGCTTCTTATCCTGGCCTTGCTGTTGCAAGAGGGTGTGCAATTGCGAGAGGTGAGTGGACACGGGTGAGAGAGTGCGCAGTGCAACTTACACAGGAGCATAGCTGTGCTGCTGTCCCTTTCCACAAGCTCTATCCACACATTGCTGCTCACCTGCTCGTCTCTGCAGGTGTGGTGGGCTACAGGGACTCTCTTCGGCAGTTGGAGCAGTGCTGCAGGGAGCTGGCGGTGGGGTTCCAGGCTGATGCAGGGGAGAGCGTGCAGTGCAGTGCAGCCCGCACAGGAGCACAGTGCACACAGCACACAGCAAGACTATGCTGTTTCTCCGTACAAAAACTTGACCCACTGCCATGCTCCCCCTTCCCAGGCGTGGTGGGCTACAGGGACTCTCTTGCAGGGGAGAGTGTGCAGTCGCCCAGGAGCACGTGCTCAGCGGTTGAGCTCTCCTGAATCTATTGCTTAGTCTTGACTCCTCTCTCTTCCCTGCAGGTGTGGTGGGCTACAGGGAGTCTCTTCGGCAGTTGGAGCAGTGCTGCAGGGAGCTGGCGGTGGGGTTCCAGGCTGATGCAGGGGAGAGTGTGCAGTGCAGTGCAGCCCGCACAGGAGCACAGTGCACACAGCACACAGCAAGACTATGCTGTTTCTCCGTACAAAAACTTGACCCACACGTTGCCAAGCTCCCCCTTCCCAGGCGTGGTGGGCTACAGGGACTCTCTTCGGCAGTTGGAGCAGTGCTGCAGGGAGCTGGCGGTGGGGCTAAGGGTTGATGCAGGGGAGAGCGTGCAGCCCGCCCAGGAGCACACACCACGGCTATTGTCGCTTTATACAACCTGTTGCCACACATTGCGACTCTCCTCTCCCTTCCCCAGGTGTGGTGGGCTATCGAGAATCCCTCAGGCAGTTGGAGCAGTGCTGCAGGGAGCTGGCGGTGGGGTTGCGGGCGGACGCGGGGGAGAGCGTGCAGCCAGCCCAGGAGCACGTGCTCAGCAGGAAGAGCCAGGCGCTCCAATCAGAGGCTGCCACGTGGGCGCTCATGCACCACCTGTTTGGATACGGTGAGGAGCAGCGTTGCTGGTGCGCTTTTTGCCGGCTCCCTGCTTGCCTTCCTCTTTTGCCTGTGCTGCCCTCCATCTTGTTCCAGATCTTGTTCAAAAACCAACCTAACTGTGCAGCCTACTGGTTAGGTTCCTAACATTTAGTTGGAACCTAACCTACTCCTTTGCCAATGCCAATCAGTGCCCTTCTTCCTTTTGAGACGTCTCAAAAGTGCATTGTATTCCATGGATCGAACCTCACGGTCCTCACCTACTCCCTTTGCCAAGGCCAATCAGTGCCTTTCTTCCTTCCGTTTCCTCCTCATGTGCTTTCTTGCATGGCATGGCATGGCATGGCATGGCATGGCATGGCATGGCATGGCATGGCATGGCATGGCAAGAGCAGACACGGACCACCTGACGGAAGATGTGCGACTGGTGAGACTCTCTCTTCCCTCCACACGTATTCTCCACGTTGTTTGCTTCATGTCACCAATAAAATGTATGCCTCGAATTCTTCACCTTACCGCTTCTTTTTCCCTTCACACCACCAGTCACCCTTCTCGGTGTTTTCCGTTTTCTGCATGATTCCCTCCCTCTGCAACGTCAGCACCCGTCCCCGTCAGCACAGGACACGTGCGACTTTCTGTCGACCAATGAGAACGCGCAGCACAGCTGGCGGGTGCTGAGGTGGCTGGAGGGGCTGGCAGAGTCGGACCTCATGCTGCTGCAGGCAGTAGGTTGACCTGCGTTGACCTGCGTTGACCAGTGTTGACCTGAGTTGGCTAGACCTGAGGTGGAACCTGCAAGGCTTGACCATAGCCGTAGAACACTTGGCTTAACCTGGCTGTCATCTCGATTTACCTGGCTTGATTTGGATTAAACTCCTCTGCACCTTGCTCTTCACCCGCACCAGTCGCCCCCACCCTACTACCCACCCGGCCCACCTTCCTGTCCTTCCGTTCGCCTTCTCCTCCACACTCTCTCCTCCCCCAGGAGCGTGGCACCTGCCTGGGAAGCTACACAGAAGCTTCTGGCCTGCGTGTGCACACGCAGAGGGCGATTCGCGAGGGGCAGGGGGGGCTGGGCGGGATAGTGGGGCTGGGCGGCAGGAGGAGCAACGCGCTGGCGTTTGGTGGGCTGGAGGGGCGGTACGGGCGGGGTGGGGGAGAGGAGATGGTGACTGCTGTGGATGCTGATGCTGTTACTCGCGAGGGGGGGCGACTGCATGCAGAGGACGAGGTGAGCTCACTCGCATGCTCTCTCTCTCTCGTCCTTTGCTTGAGAGAGCTTGTCCTTGTCCTTGTCCTTACTTTCTCCATCCCCATCCTCTGCCTCCTGCTTCAACCTCACTTTCCCCAACGAGTGCAGGAGGAGTTGCTATCAGACGTCTTCACACTCGTCACCGCCAGTTCTTCTCCCCACCCTTTCCCACTTCCCCATCCCCCTCCTCATGTTCCGTACCTCACCCCTCGTCCTCTCCTCCATAGCTCTCTCACTTTCCCCAGCGAGTGGAGGAGGAGTAGCTATCGGACATATTCACGCTCCGCTCACCACTGCCACCATATGGGCCCTTGTTTCCCCCCACCTTCCCCTCCTCTCATCTTTTACCCCTCCCACTTCTCACAGCGAGTGGAGGAGGAGTTGCTATCGGACATATTCACGCTCACCACTGCCACCCCTCTAAACCCACCCACCATCTTCTCCACGCCTCACTCCATGCACGCTCCTTCCCCCAGCGAGTGGAGGAGGAGTTGCTATCAGACATCTTCACGCTCATCACTGCTGCTTCATGGCATCACCCCTCCCTTCCTCCCCTTCCTTCTTACCCTCTCTTTATTTCCCACTCTCATTCCCCTCTTCCCCTCCTCCTCCTTCCCCCAGCGAGTGGAGGAGGAGTTGCTATCAGACGTCTTCACGCTCATCACCGCTGGCCGGATTCAAGATGCCCTCAACCTCTGCCGGGCGGCGGGGCAGACCTGGCGGGCGGCGGTTCTCGGCGGGACATGGGCCGCGCCGCCCAGCGCTGGGGCGGCAGGGGAGAGCTTCCCCACAGCCGCCACGTGGCGGGAGATGAGTGGAAGGGCGAGGCGGGCGGCACAGGCGGGGGAGGTGGAGGGGGGGAAGGGGCGGGGAAGGCGGCTGTGGAAATGGTCTCTGCTGGTGGCGTCTGAGGCTTCGAGCAGTCGGTTTGAGGCGGCTGTGCTGGGAGCGCTGTGTGGCAATGTGAAGAGGATACTGCCTGTCTGCACGTCATGGCAGGTGCGCGTGTGTGTGTGTCCTTCAGAGGTGCCTTGCGGTGGCTGAACATGCCTGGGTTACATGGGGGATTAAGACGGGTGGAGGGGGGGGAGGGGCGGGGAAGGCGGCTGTGGAAATGGTCTCTGCTGGTGGCTTCTGAAGCTTCAACCAGTCGGTTTGAGGCGGCTGTGCTGGGAGCGCTGTGTGGCAATGTGAAGAGGATACTGCCCGTTTGCACCTCGTGGCAGGTGAGTGTGTGTGCTTAGGTTTGCACCTCGTGGCAGGTGAGTGTGTGTGCTTAGGTTTGCACCTCGTGGCAGGTTAGTGTGTGTGCTTAGGTTTGCACCTCGTGGCAGGTGAGTGTGTGTGCTTAGGTTTGCACCTCGTGGCAGGTGGGTGCGTGCGTCTGTTTTTCAGAGGTGCCTTACGGTGACTGAGCATGTCCGGGCTACACGGGGGGCGAAGATGGGTCGAGGGAAGGGGCGGGGCAGGAGGCTGTGGAAGTGCTCTCTGCTGGTGGCAGACGCGGGGTGACTTTTGAGTCGACTTAAAAGCCAAATACAGGCTGGACGCGGTGTACATGTGATGTGGTTGCCGTGGAGCTTGTGGCTTGCATCTACTTCAATCCTTTTGGTAAACGTTGAGTTTCTATCGCGCGGCGTGTACGTGTGATGTGGTTGTTGTGGAGTATGTGGCTTGCATCTACTTCAGTCTTCTGGTTTGTCTTTCTCCCCCACACTCCCCCCCGCCCTGCTTTTGAAACACTGCTCTCTCAGACGGCCTGCTGGGCACTGCTGCGTTGTTGGCTCGACTTCCAGGTGAGCACCCATGGTGTCATCAGAGTGGTTGCTGCATCCCATGGTGTCATCAGAGTGGTTGCTGCATCCCATGGTGTCATCAGAGTGGTTGCTGCATCCCATGGTGTCATCAGAGTGGTTGCTGCATCCCATGGTGTCATCAGAGTGGTTGCTGCATCCCATGGTGTCATCAGAGTGGTTGCTGCATCCCATGGTGTCATCAGAGTGGTTGCTGCATCCCATGGTGTCATCAGAGTGGTTGCTGCATCCCATGGTGTCATCAGAGTGGTTGCTGCATCCCATGGTGTCATCAGAGTGGTTGCTGCATCCCATGGTGTCATCAGAGTGGTTGCTGCATCCCATGGTGTCATCAGAGTGGTTGCTGCATCCCATGGTGTCATCAGAGTGGTTGCTGCATCCCATGGTGTCATCAGAGTGGTTGCTGCATCCCATGGTGTCATCAGAGTGGTTGCTGCATCCCATGGTGTCATCAGAGTGGTTGCTGCATCCCATGGTGTCATCAGAGTGGTTGCTGCATCCCATGGTGTCATCAGAGTGGTTGCTGCATCCCATGGTGTCATCAGAGTGGTTGCTGCATCCCATGGTGTCATCAGAGTGGTTGCTGCATCCCATGGTGTCATCAGAGTGGTTGCTGCATCCCATGGTGTCATCAGAGTGGTTGCTGCATCCCATGGTGTCATCAGAGTGGTTGCTGCATCCCATGGTGTCATCAGAGTGGTTGCTGCATCCCATGGTGTCATCAGAGTGGTTGCTGCATCCCATGGTGTCATCAGAGTGGTTGCTGCATCCCATGGTGTCATCAGAGTGGTTGCTGCATCCCATGGTGTCATCAGAGTGGTTGCTGCATCCCATGGTGTCATCAGAGTGGTTGCTGCATCCCATGGTGTCATCAGAGTGGTTGCTGCATCCCATGGTGTCATCAGAGTGGTTGCTGCATCCCATGGTGTCATCAGAGTGGTTGCTGCATCCCATGGTGTCATCAGAGTGGTTGCTGCATCCCATGGTGTCATCAGAGTGGTTGCTGCATCCCATGGTGTCATCAGAGTGGTTGCTGCATCCCATGGTGTCATCAGAGTGGTTGCTGCATCCCATGGTGTCATCAGAGTGGTTGCTGCATCCCATGGTGTCATCAGAGTGGTTGCTGCATCCCATGGTGTCATCAGAGTGGTTGCTGCATCCCATGGTGTCATCAGAGTGGTTGCTGCATCCCATGGTGTCATCAGAGTGGTTGCTGCATCCCATGGTGTCATCAGAGTGGTTGCTGCATCCCATGGTGTCATCAGAGTGGTTGCTGCATCCCATGGTGTCATCAGAGTGGTTGCTGCATCCCATGGTGTCATCAGAGTGGTTGCTGCATCCCATGGTGTCATCAGAGTGGTTGCTTCCCATGGTGTCATCAGAGTGGTTGCTGCATCCCATGGTGTCATCAGAGTGGTTGCTGCATCCCATGGTGTCATCAGAGTGGTTGCTGCATCCCATGGTGTCATCAGAGTGGTTGCTGCATCCCATGGTGTCATCAGAGTGGTTGCTGCATCCCATGGTGTCATCAGAGTGGTTGCTGCATCCCATTCCGTTCCCATGGGGTTCGTCCATTCCTGTGTATCTAACTGCTTGTGACACGTCATAAGAACCCCCTATGAGTGCCTGCAGCCACTCCACATTCGCGTGCATGGATCCGCACGCTTTCCCTGCACGGTTGCACATGCGTGCCTTTCACTCTGACTGTGAGCACGTGCTCTGCACTTGTCCCGCAACAGTCACAGGCACTGGTAGCCGCACATACACTCGTTTTCCAACCCTTTACACCTGTCCTCTTCCTGCACCCACCACCTCACACCTCTCACTCCTCTTCTTCCCGCCCCTCCCCTCTCGCTGCTCCCTTCGCAGGTCGAAGCCCACCTCTCCGCTGCCTCCTCCCCACCCCTCCCTCGCGCCCTCCCGTCCGTCTCCGCCGCTGCCGCTCGTGCTCTCGCCTCCATCTCCCCCGCTCCCTTCCTCTCCTCCTCCTCCGCCTCTTCCCTCGCCGCTACAGCCATCTCCCTTGCACCATCTTCCTCATCATCAGCAGCAGCAGCAGTGGCAGCGTCAGCAGCAGCAGCGGTGTCAACAGCAACGGGAGCGGCAGTGTGGCCGGCACCAGTGGCGGCACAGCAACCAGCTGACTTTGACGATCTCTTTCAGAAGCTCAGAACCAGGTCTGTGGCCTGCTGTGGCCTGCTGTGGCCTGCTGTGGCCTGCTGTGCTGCCAGTAGTAAACAGGTGGGCTGCGGAGGTCTGTGGCCTGCTGTGGCCTGCTGTGCTGCCAGTAGTAAACAGGTGGGCTGCGGAGGTCTGTGGCCTGCTGTGGCCTGCTGTGCTGCCAGTAGTAAACAGGTGGGCTGCGGAGGTCTGTGGCCTGCTGTGGCCTGCTGTGCTGCCAGTAGTAAACAGGTGGGCTGCGGAGGTCTGTGGCCTGCTGTGGCCTGCTGTGGCCTGCTGTGGGTTTCTCATGGGCTGCGGTTGTTTCTCCAGTATAACAGCCAGCAGATTATGCCTCCTGTTGTTCTCTCAACCTACCCGTTCCTTTTTCCATCCTATCCCCTCCCCCTCCACCCGTTCCCCCTGGATTTCCCATGCAGCCCCTCACTCCCCGACGGTGTCAAGCGCAGCAGCACCGAGCAGCACCACATGCTGCACACCAAGCCCACTGTCTCCTCCCCTTCTTCCCCCTTCCTTCCCACTCCTCGCCCCATTTCCCTCCCATGCAGCCCCTCTCTCCCAGACGCTGTCAAGCGCAGCAGCACGGAGCCACACCACGTGCTGCAGACGCACCTCATTCTCAGGAACGTTCCAGGAACCATCCAGGCGCTGCGGTCGTGGATCATCCCCTCGGTGGCTCCGTCGGGATTGGCTGCTTCTCTGGGCGGCAATGTGGAGAGCGAGTAGGTGCCCTTTCCCTCTCTGCTGGAGTTGCTTCTGAGAGTTTTCAAAAACATTATCCCGTCGATGGCTCCCTCAGGAGTGGCTGCTTCTCTGGGCGGCACTCTCGAGAGCGAGTAGGTGCTCCTCTCTGTTTCTCTTGCTCTTCCTCTGAACGAGTACAAGGCTGGCTCCTGCTCTGCCCGACAGTTTGGAGAGCGAGTAGGTTTTTTCTAGTTGCACATGCATTCACCCCTGCTCAAATCAGCCCAGCTCAAATCAGCCCAGCTCAAATCAGCCCAGCTCAAATCAGCCCAGCTCAAGTGTGCTCGCATATGCACCCGCCACTCGGCATCAGCACCCGCCGCATGTGTCATAATGCGCTTGACCCACCGGCTGCTGCTGCTGCTGCCCCTGCCCCATGCACCCATCCCCGTTTGCCACAATGCTGCGTTCACACTCCCCTGCTTGCCCCGTTTTCGGGCCTCAACCCCCTGCTCCACCTGCCCCGTTTACTACCTCATCTCCTCTTTCCACCCCCTTGCTTTCCACTCGCACAATCCCCTGTCCTCCTCCTTCCACCCATTATGCCCCCTTCTTTCTCCCCTCCCAGCTCCGACCCTGCCCTGGTGCGGTGTGGCGCCCACCTGGTGGTGCTTCTGCGCTCCGTGCTCCCCGCTGCTGCTCGCCAGCAGTACAGGGACTGGCTCAACACGTCAGGCGATGTCATTCTGTACACGTGAGTGTGGCTGGCAGCATTTTGCTTTGCAGGTACATCAGGTAGATCTGGTGCACTAGGCGCATCATCAGCTGCCCGCCAGCAGTACCGCGACTGGATCAACACATCGGGAGATGTCATCCTGTACACGTGAGCATAGTTGGCAGGCAGCAGCATGCATGTGTGTCTGTCAGGTGCATCTGGTGTATCATCACATGCACCTACCACCAGTACAGGGACTGGCTCAACACATCAGGGGACGTCATCCTCTAAACGTGAGTGGGCCTGGTGCAGGTGATAGGTGGTGCAGGAGATACCTGGTGCAGGTGATAGCTGGTGCAGGTGATAGCTGGTGCAGGTGATACCTGGTGCAGGTGATACCTGGTGCAGGTGATACCTGGTGCAGGTGATAGCTGGTGCAGGTGATACCTGGTGCAGGTGATACCTGGTGCATGGTGGCCCTTTTTTCCGATTCTCTTCCTTATTCCTTCAGTCTCTCCCCCTCTCGCTCTTGCATAGTCTGTATGCTCCCAAATCGTCTCCCCATCCCATCAGCTACTGTGTGCTGCTGCTGTCAGCACACCGCAGGGACCATCTCACACCGCTCCATGCCTCTCTGCTCCTCGCGCCCTCGCTTGCTTCCTCATTGCCCTATTCTCTCCCCACTCCCATCCCCCTCATCCCATCAGCTACTGTGTGCTGCTGGCAGCGCAGCGCAGGGACCATCTCACGCCCTCTGCGCCTCTCTGCTGCTCACGCCCTCGCTTCTTTCCCCGTTCCCCAATGCTCTCCCCACTCCCTGCCCCCTCTCATCCCATCAGCTACTGTGTGTTGCTGGCAGCGCAGCGCAGGGACCATCTCACACCGCTCTACGCCTCACTGCTGCTCACGCCCTCCCTCACCTCTGACTTCTTCCTTCAGCTATTCGAGCAGCGCAAGACAGACAGGTGCGTGCATTGAGTGATGGGGATGGTGTTTGTGCTGGTTGTTGTCATGGTAGTGGCAGGTGGTGGTACCATTGGCGCTGCTGCTGCTCACACCCTCCCTCGCCTCTGACTTCTTCCTTGAACAGCGCAAGACAGACAGGTTCGTTCCTGTGGTGGTGGCTGTGTGTGTAGTGGTGGTGTTTCTGCTGCTGCTGCTGCAGCTGCTGCGAACGAATCTTGGGTCCCCTTTCGTTTCAGCCCCCTTCCATGAAAGGGGGCTGTTGGATGTTGCTGCTGCTGCTGCGAGCTCAGCATCCAACAGCCCCCTTTCATTCCATCCCCCTTTTCACTAGCCTCGTCGCGTTACTCTCACGCTTCGGTGCGTTGCCGTGGTGGTGGGGATGGTGGGTAGTAGTGGTGGTGGGGATGGTGGGTAGTAGTGGTGGTGGGGATGGTGGGTAGTAGTGGTGGTGGGGATGGTGGGTAGTATTGGTGGTGGGGATGGTGGGTAGTAGTGGTGGTGCTCCTGCGGCAGCTGCTGCTGGCTAATTCAGTGCTATGGTGACTCAAGTGCTCCCTATTTAAAATGCCTTTTCAGATTTTATGAGGCCTTCACAAATCACTTAACCATTCCCAACGCACTCTTAATACGAGCCTCTGCTGCACACCGACCATTCCTTTCAACTCCCCATTCAACCACCTCTTATCTGAAATTCCCAGAAATCATTTTTTTTTCGATTCCTCACTCTCGCTTTCCTGCTCCCTTCCTGTTCATTCCTTTCATTTAACCACTTGCCGCCTTCTGTCCCGCGTGTCACCAGTGTTGAGGCCAAGAGGCGAACAGTGGAGGCGCTGTGTCTGCACCTCCCTCTCTCCGGCCCTGACTCTGTCCCCACAATGCTCAACAGGTGTGCCCCTCTTTTCTCCTCACCCATTACATGCCAAACATCCTGAACAGATGCACAGGCACACTTACCCCTCTTTCCCCATCTTTTCTCTCTTGCCATAAGTCTACTTACCACCTGACATTTCCCACCCTTCTCCATCGGTTCTTTTTTAGACGTCTCGAAAACACCCTCATTTCACGTTTCTCTTCCCGCAACTCATTTCTCCTGCCATAAGTCGTCTTATCACCTGACAGTCCCCAACCTTCTCCATCGGTTCCCCTCTCTCGCTCCCCTGTTGTTCCTCTCCTCTTCTCCATGCCCATCAACCATTTTTCCAAACCCCTTTGTTTCCCACATGGACACCATCTCCCCTTCTCATCCCCTTCCCCCTCTCCCTTCCCCTCTCCCTCCCCCTCCCCCTCCCCCTCCCCCTCCCCCTCCCCCTCCCCATCCCCCCCCCTCCTCCCCCTCTCCCTCCCTCTCCCACCCCACCAGGTTCCTCTCCAAGTGCTCCCATTGGTCGGATCCCGGGGTCCTGCCCGCCTCTGATTGGCCGAGAGCAGTGCTGGCGGATCTGAGGGGACAGGTGGCAGCGTTTGAGTGGGCGGTGACGGACCCCACTGCCCCGGGGACAGTGGGCAGTGCAGAGTGGGGCAGTGAGAGGAGGAAGATGCAGCGACTGGCTCTGCAGCATGGGTGAGCTGGATGCGGAAAGAGAGAGGGGTTGCGGCAGTTGGCCCTGCAGCACCGGTGAGTTGTTGCAGGGAGAGGGAGATGAGGAGAGGAGGAAGATGCAGCGACTGTCCCTGCAGCATGGGTGAGTTGCAAGGGGGGGGGGAGAGGGCAGTGTGTGTTTGAGAGTTCTCAAACGCACCGTGCAGAGGGCAGTGTCTGTTTGAGTGGGTGGTCACGGACCCCACACTGCCCCGGCAACAGTGGGCAGTGCGGAGCGGGGCAGGGAGAGGAGGAAGATGCAGCGACTGGCCCTGCAGCACGGGTGAGAGAGTGAGAGGCAGAGGAGCAGCTAGAGGACAGGGAGGAGGGTGATGGAGAGGGTTGTGAGGGGTGGGAATCTAAAAAATGGGTGATTTGTAAGAAACTGTTTGGATGGCATGGTGTGAGCAACAGTGCCTCTGAAATGGAATAACCTCACTCTAAATCCTCTTGCTTTCTCCTCTCCCTGCTCTGCCCTTTTCTCGCACGCCCTCTTTCCAGGAACCTTCTGCTGCGCGCCATGCTCCTGGCGGCACACGCGGAGGGCGGCAGCAGCAGCGGCAGCCCGTCCAGCCAATCAGGGCGCTCCCTTGCCGCCCTGCTGGCAGATACAGTGGCGGGCATTCACGCAGAGATGGAGGCGAGGCGAAGCCAGGAGGGGGCAGAGCGAGAGGAGCAAGAGGAAGAGGGAGATGAGGAGGAGGAAGAGGAGAGTGTGGAGCTCAGCGAGTTTGACTTCTGGGTACGTTGTGTGTTGTCCTCCTTTCCCCCTTCACCTCCACCTCCCGCCATCGTCTCCCCTTTTCCCCTTCTCTCCCCCTTCCCTCTTCCCGCTTAACCTCCACCTCCCCCCATCGTTTCCTCTTTCCCTCATCCTCTCCCCCTTCCCCCTTCGCCTCCTCCACCCCCCATCGTTTCCCCTTTCCCCTGTCATCTTCCACTCTCCCCCATCCCGCCCTCCACACTCCCTCCCATTGGTCCAGGTGGATTACATCGCTGCTGATGTGGCGTACCGTGGTTGGGCCACGGCAGCAGCAGCAGCAACGGAGCGAAGGGAAGAGCGGGAGAGGAGGGATCAGGAGCAGCAGGGAGCGGGTCAAATGGGGGGTGCAGGGCAGGAGGAAGGGGAGGCGGAGAGGGAGAAGGAGCGAGCAGACCTGTTATCGCTGGCCAGTCGGGCTGTCTCTATTGGCATGCAGCTGCTGCAGAGTACGTCTTTCTCTGCTCCCTCTCCATTCCATCTTCCTCGTTCCCTTCTTCTTGCAACGACCTCTTATCTCTAGCTAGTCGGGCTGTCTTTATTGACATGCAGTGCTGCAAAGTATGTCAAAACTGTTGATGTGCCTCACAACCTGTGCTGGCAAAGTATGCCTTTTTCTTGGTTTTCAAAGCAACCCAAACCACACAATCTCACTCAAAATCCGTGTCAACTTCATTCCCTCACAGCTGCTTCAAAGTATGTTTCCCTACGTGCTCTCTCTTGAGAATTCTCAAAAGCTCTCTTCTCCTTCCTGCTGTGCTGTCACCCGCTCTCCCCTTCCACCCAACCTCTTCCTCTCTTACTTCCTCCCACCCACCATCCCCAGGGGAAGCCTCATCAACCATGCGGCTTCAGGTCACCCCACAGCAGCAACCGCAGCAATCACACCAGAACCAGCAGCAGCAGGGCGGCAGAGAGCATGTGGTGGTGGCGTGTGTGGCGGTGCTGGCCCCCTCAGGGGCTCTCGTGCCCGGCGATGCCTCCATGTGTGCCGCCATGCACTCAGCGCTCATGGCGTGCGTGGGGGAGCGAGAGGCAGAGGCGCGGCAAGTCAGGGTGAGTACGGTGGTTTGGAAACCAGTGCTGAGCAGCAGTCTCCTGTGATGCTCAGTGCTCTCGCTCACAGTGATGCCTCTCTGTGTGCTGCCATGCACTCGGCACTCATGGCATGTGGGGATGAGAGAGGCAGAGGCGCGACAAGTCAGGGTGAGTACTCAGCACTTGGCACTCATGGCATGTGGGGATGAGAGAGGCGGACGCGGACGCACGGCCAGGTCGACGTGGCAGCACAGCGCACCGCTCTGACCCCCTTCCATCATATCCTCTGCATTCTCTGCTGTCCCCCCTTTTCCTGCCCCCCCCCCTCCCCCCCACTCCCCCATCTCCACCTCGTAAACTTCTCTCAGGTGGACGTGGCAGCGCGCCTTCTCACGCTCGCCTTCGCTGGTCCCCCCTGCTCACTCCCAACTCGTCCCCACCCTCCCCCCCCGTGCTCCCCCACTCTCGCGCTGCTCCCCCTCTTCGTCCCACAGGTCGACGTGGCAGCGCACCCCTCTGACTCGCGCCTGCTCACACTCGCTACCACCCCTATCTCCCCCTTACTCTCCACCTCTCCCTCCGTCTCTCAGGTTGACGTGGCAGCGCACCCCTTAGACGCGCGCCTGCTCACACTCGCCATTCGCTGTCTGGGGACCGGAGGAGAGGAGGGGGCGAGTGAGGCAGCGAGTGTGGATGTGGAGAGCCTTGCTGTGCGCATCATGGCTCGTGTTGTCAAAGGTGCGTTTCTTCCATCTCGCTCGTCTTTCCCCTAACCCCTCCCCCCCCCCCCTTCGCGACTTCCGCCACACTGACCCTGCTGCTCTCGTGCCATGCACTCACTCTCTCCCCTTTTTCCACCACCCCCGGTCATTTCTCTGCTCCCTCTCCCTCGCTCCATTCCTGCCTACCAGCGGAAATTCCTCTCACAGACCCTGCTGCTTGCATGTTTTTGAGTCGACTCAAAAACATTTCTCTGCTCCCTCTCCCTCGCTCCATTCCTGCCTACCAGCGGAAATTCCTCTCACAGACCCTGCTGCTTGCATGTTTTTGAGTCGACTCAAAAACATTTCTCTGCTCCCTCTCCCTCGCTCCATTCCTGCCTACCAGCGGAAATTCCTCTCACAGACCCTGCTGCTTGCATGTTTTTGAGTCGACTCAAAAACATTTCTCTGCTCCCTCTCCCTCGCTCCATTCCTGCCTACCAGCGGAAATGCCTCTAATGGACCCTGCTGCTTGCATGCACGTGATGCGCTGTGCACTGCTCATGCACTCATCCCCTCTACCCCCTCTCCCCCCCCCCCCTCTCTCTCCCTCTCCCTGTATCCCACCCAGCGGAACTACCTCACATGGACCCTGGTGCTCGCATGCATCACTACTGCTCGCATGCATCACTACTGCTCGCATGCATCACTACTGCTCGCATGCATCACTACTGCTCGCATTCCCTTTTTTGTTCTTTTGCTTTAAGCCTAGCTTCACTACTGCTGCTCCCTGAGAATTATGTCTGAAGATCTGCTCGCATGCACGTGGTGCGCTGTGCTGCGATTAAGCACTCACTCCCTCCCTCTTCCCCCCCCACCCCCCCCTCCTCCTTTTTTTCTTCTTTCCTTGCTCTCAAATGGTCCTTTGTATTAATTCAGCAGGGGGTACAGACATGCAGTTTGACTCGTGGTACCTTTATACCTTCCGATCCATCAACCCATCCCTCTGACCCTCCCCCCCCCCCCCTCAGTGCCCCTCAACCCCTCCAGCGTGTGGAGGATGTCCCCTAGGTGCAGCGGCCAGGGGTCCGCCGCCATCTGGGGGTGCGCTGCCTCGATCCCCGCCCTGGCCTTGGTGTGCAGGGCATTCGCCTGGGAACGCTGTAGGGCCACTGACCAGCGCTGGCTGAAGTGGCAGGCCATTTTCTTGGCCGATTTAGCCAGGGGGTTGGCCCTGAAGCGGTTCCTAGCTGCTGCTGTGGCCAGCAGCTTCAGGAACGCCGTCGTGGGGGGCGCGTTTGCCCAATAGGTCTCGACGGCCAGGGCGCAAAACGCGGAAGGATCCGCACATGTGCAGGAAGTGCAGCGGACGCTCTTCATTCGGGAGCTCCGATGACCCGTGATGCTTGCAACCCTCCCACGCCCTTGCTGGCTTGGTAATAGGCCCAGACAAGCGCAGCCACGTGACCCGGCGGAAGAAAAACACTCGGAACGAGCGCTTCCACCCCCAAAACACAGAAGGATCCACACATGTGCGGTAGTAATCCCTTTCCTTCCGCTTCTGAGCCTCCCTTGCAGCCCAGCCTGGGGGTTTGCGGGCTGTGGGGTCCCGGTTCTGTAGCACAGGGTCGGTGATAGTCGTGTCTGTGATCCAGTTTGTTTGAGATTAGTTTTGAGAATTCTCAAAACTAATCTCAAACAAAATGATCCAGGTCTCTCCACTGTCTGGGTCGCGTACGATCACATCGGCCTTCTTTGGGTCATCCGGTGGTGAGTACATTGCATTCTCCAGGTATACCACCAGCTGCGCCTCCCTCGCCATTTTTGCCACGGCGAAGGCCAGCTGGTTGTGTGTGCGCGTTCTGTCCGGGCCTGTGCTGCAGCGGAGTAGGTGGTTGGGTAGGCTGCAGTCGGCCACGAGCTCTCCACACTCGCACACAGTAGGTACGTTCTGTCGGATGCCCATGCGGAAGGCCAGGGCTGTTCGGAATTGCCCTGGTGAGAATCAGAGGTCTGGAGTCAGGGGTAGGGCTTGCAGCCATGCTCCCGCTCCCTCGCCTCTCAGGCTGACGAGGCGGAGCGTGTGGCCCATCTCGGGGGCTGACCTGATTGTGCGTGATTCCTCTGTCAGGGCGTCGGCCTTTGCCGCGTGCACTTCCTGCGAGAGGGCCCGCTGCAGCTGGTCTTGGGACGAGGTTTCTTGCTCCTCCCGGAGGTGTTGCAGCGCCAACGGCGGCAGTCGTCCCTCCATGTCTCGGATGGTGACCGAGTGTGCCGCCGTCGGCTGCAGGGCGTTGCTGTTGCTCCCCAGCGCCGCGGTTGCTGGCAGGTCGAGTGAGCGGAGCAGGCGTAGTGCCTCTGTCGTTGAGGCCAGGTAGGCTGGTGCTGCTTCTGTTGTGGGATCCGTGAGGCCCAGTCCACCTAGGGCCACTGGGAGGGTTGCTTGGCGGATGAGAAAATTGAACTCGGCTTCGCGGCGGGGTGGTTGGATGCTGGCGGCAGTCAGGGCGGTGTTGAGCAGTTCGGCGCACCACGTGTGCCATTCCGAGAGGGGAAGGACATCCGCTGGGGTGGTGCGCAGCAAGTAGCCGATTCTGCGGCTGATGCAGCGGGACAGGAGCAGGAGGGCATGCTGTGGATGAATGGATGCTAGGGAGCCCAGGGGTGCCGCCGCGTCTGTCAGAGTACTGCGGACTAGGTCAGAGCAGAAGCGCTGTGACCCCACGGGACTTCCCAACACCCGTACCCCCTCGTGGGTGAGTGGGAGGCCCTCGGGGAGCTCGTCACCCTCGAGCGGCGTCGTGGACCACGCCGACGATTTTCTGAGGTTGCAGGTGAGGCCATCCTGGGCGAGCAGCGGCGTCAGCAACTTAAGCGCGCCGAGCGTTGCTGTCGCCGGTCCGATCATGGTGATGTCATCTGCGTATGCTAGGATCGTGACTTCTGGGTGCTCTGCTGCTGTGCGTCTGAGGTGCTGCTGGATTGATGCCGCGAACAGCAGGGGTCCGAGGGGGTCCCCCTGCCTAACTCCCCTTCCGCTGGTAAGTGCCGTCGTGCTCAAGCGGGGATCGGTCAGCAGCTGAGAAGGCGTTGCGTAGAAGGAGCGGGTGAAAGGTATGAGCGGTGCTAGCGGGGTGTTGGTGAGTGCGTTGAAGAACGCTTTCCTCTCTACGGAGTTGAAAGCGTTTTCAATGTCGAGTTGGAGGACTAGGCTGGAAGGTTGTGAAGTGGTGAGGTCTCTGACTGCATGTATAACGAACTCAGCTCCGCCAGGGACTGCCACACCGAATTGTTGGGGTAAGAAAAATCGCCTTATTTCTCCCTGCAGTTCCGAGAGTGCCACCTTTGCTGCCAACCGGAGTAGGGATTCCCCTATCGCGATCCCCCTGGTTTCGCGAAGGCGATGAGGCGGGATGGCGAGAGTAGTGCTGCAACCTCGGTGGAAAGATTCGTGGAGAGAAGATGTGTTACGGCGGAGTGCAGGTGCCCCAGCACTTCGATGTTGCTTAGGGCTGGGTCGCGGTAGTGTTCAAATGTTGACCCTGATGGACCAGCCCCAACTCCGCTGGGGCAATCCCCAAGGACGTCTGAGAAACTTTCCGCGGTGCACGAAAATTGCGTGGGTGTTGTGTAGGTGTGGACCCAGTCGGGCAGCTCAACTTGGGGTTGGGGATGCTTCAATTCCAACTGCTGCAGTGTTGCGATCGTCGCAGGGGCCGCTGGCGAGGGTGAAAGGGCTGCCAACGCTTTTCGCAGGTTACCCCGTGTCCCTCTCTCTCCCTTTCCCTGTGTCCCTCTCAGCGGAACTACCTCACATGGACCCTGCGGCTCGCATGCACGTGGTGCGCTGTGCTGCCTTCACCAACCCACCCACCCACCGCCCAAGCCTCTCCCGAACCACTGCGGACAGCTTTGGCACCATAGCAGCAGCGGAGGCTCGGGGTGCTGAGCCTGCGCCGTGGCTCATGCGCCGGCTGTGCCGTGTGTGCTGCCTTCCCACCCTTGCCTTGCGCTGCCAGGAGGTGAGTGTAGCTGTGTGTCTCTCTTATCTAGTATGAATTGTATGGGTTGGTGTCTCCCTATGTCTATGTGTATGGGGGTTGGGGTTGGTCTGCAACTCGTTATGTTAAGTTGGTCTGCAACTCGTTATGTTAAGTTGGTCTGCAACTCTTTTATGTTTACATGCATGGGTTGCATTCGGCGTATCGATGCGAGTGTCTAGTACATGCATCTGTTCCCGTCATAACTCAAGTCTGTATCCAATCTCCACCCACGTTCCATTATTGTCACAATCGTTTACTGCAGGTGCGGGTGTTTATGGCGCAGCAGCTGGAGCCATCAGTGCATGTGGATCCAGCAGCAGCAGCAGAGGTCATGGAAGCAACTGATGTGGCGGCTCTGGTGGCCCAGGGCACGCTGATTCAAATCTTCACACCCCAGCAGCTCCAGGTGGGTCTCGTCTGTGGAAAATACTATTTGTACCACATTCTCTGGCAGTTTTCTTTTCACTTGGTTTTTCTCCGCTGTTTGTGTGACATTTGTTGTGCCTGGCTCCTCTGTGATTTTTCTCTCTTCAGAAATTATTACTTATGGAAAGGGAGGTGGTTCTCAGCTCCATCAACCAAGGGTAGTAGTCTGTATTGCCAAGTTCTGAGACATGACTACTGCTTTTATATATTCTTATAGGCTGGGTTTGATTACATCTGTAACTTTCTTAGTGTATGAACTTTTTTTGCGTTCTCTCTCCAAGCTAAACAAAAGAAAGTCCTTCGAAGCTTCTCTAATTTTTGTTGGTGTTTTCTATTGGCTGGCGTGCGGCCATATGCATCTGCGACAGAGTCTGTCACCATCACGCGCCGTTATAGTATCCTATTGGTTACGCGTTTCTTGCAGAAGTGTGCGACGCTGGTTACTGAAATCGCACGCGACCCGTTCACCTGAAATGACTGGAAGAACCAGTTGACTGCTCAGAGCGCGATGACGGAACCGCACTCTGCGAAGCGCTAATTCATTCGCATTCGCGAGACGGGAGGAACAGAACAGAACAGATGCCACCTCCTCACAGCCTCTCCTTCGCTTGTTGTCTGTGATCAGGGACAGGGAGTCACCACGACTCGCGATACCACTACATGACCGTCCAGCATCACCACCACACCACTTGTCAGATAAACTGAGAGTGCTGTTCGTCACTCACTATGCTTCCACTGAAAACACTCGACGAGGTTGTTCAATCTAACTGGTCTTTGGCATGTCGAAAGGCGGGACACAATTCCTCCGCTTATTCTTCGACGAAAGTTCCTCGCAACTTAAGCCAGATTTGCACTATCAGCGAAACCTCACCTCACTTGTTAAAGATAGGCATTGTCGTTCACATAAAAGCTCTGTGCTCAGATACGGCAGTAACCCCAGTGGAACAGATTAACAGTGGCTCTGTCGAAATTTAATCCATACCTCGGATACAGCGGTATTTCTATTTCTTGCGGTTCAGGACTTCGTCGTCCATCATTCTGTTTCCATTCTATTTCGTCCTTGACTATCACGCTCAACTCCTAGACTGCAGCCATGGGAGAATCCGCATTATCGCCTCCATTAACACGCCGCTTGTTTACGCATCGCGCAGTTGCTCTCCTTTGCCTCGCGTCCCTTCCACTGCTCTCTCTCGGTAAGACCCGATATGCCTATCCCTGCTTCGTGAAGCTCGAGCCTTGTGAGACAGGTTGTTTGTGTATTTTTTGAAAAACTCGGCCTTTGTCTTGCTGCCTTTCCACTGCTCGCTCTCGGTAAAGCCCGATGCGGGGATCACTGTTTCACTCTAGCACTACCTTCTTCCGCCCATTGCTTTCCGCAATTCGCGTACTCCCTCGGGCTGACGGAACCGAACGCGTCTCAACTTCCGCGCAATCTTGCCACGCCCTTCACCCGTCCTTCTCCGCTCGCTCTCAACCAGATTCCCACCCTCCCTTAGTTGAAATTCCCGTCCATTTATATTCAGACCCCGCCGCCTTCCACCCACCAATACACCTGCAGAACCACGTCGCCTTCCATCAAATTATACTGTTCTCACGTTTCCCCCGTCTGTCGTTCTACCCCTGTTACAGCGAAGAGCTCGTCGTCGTCCGATTTCCTCCCTCCGCCGCCCTCCTGGCCCGAGGAGTACGCGGGAGTTGCGCCGCTTCCGCGAGACGACTCCGCCGCCACCTTCCACGTGGCGGACTATGGTGCGCAGCCCGACGGCCGCGGGGATAGCTGGGGCGCCTTCCGCCGCGCCTTCGACGCCGCCTGCAAGCTCGCGGAGGCGGAAAGCGTGCGCGTCCGCGTGCTCGTCGCTCCGCCGTCCGCGGAAGGATCTTCCGGGGGGAGCTCTTCCGCGGGGGGATCATCCATGGATGGCGGTAGGAAGGATTCTGGCCGAATCGCTAGTACGAAAAGCACCAACGGCAGTGCCGCTGGCAACGGAATTGACACTACACTCGGGAACGACTCGTCCGCGAATAGCGATCCCAACAATACCGCGGATAACATGCCTCATCTGCCGACGGTCGCGGACGTCACAATGCCGGACGTTAACGTTAACGTCAACGTCGACAATTCGATTGCTAACGTGGACGCGTTGAAGGGTTCCAGCGGCGGAGGCGGCAACGGCAACGGCGGGGGGGGAAACGGAAGCGGGGGAAGCGGAGCAAGCGGCGCGCACGTGGTTAGCGATACGATGCAGTGGCTGCTCAACCATCGCGGATTGGCGCAAAAGAACCACGGACTGACGGAGAGGAGGTTGGGGGAGCAGAGGCGCGGATTGGCGGAGCGGAACCGTGTGCTGGCGGAGCGGAGCCGAGAGGCGGACGGGAACAGCGTCAAGTACTATCTCAGCCGTTCGATCACGGTGAACGGATCGTGCGGCGCTGGTTTGACGCTGCAAATCGACGACGCGACGATCTACGGCCCAAAAACCGCAGAGGGTTATCCCAAACCGTCGCTGTACATTAACGAGGACAAGATCGGCGTGGCGAGTAACGGCATGTTCCGGTTCGTAGGGGTGACGGGGCTGGTCATACGCGGTAGTGGCAGCCTCGACGGCAACGGCGAGGGGTACTGGGATACCGAGGCGCACGACCGGCCGCACCTGCTGTCGCTGATCAACTGCCGCGAGGTCATTCTCGACAGCGTAGCGCTGCGGTGAGTAGCGTATCCCGACCACCTGTTGAGTGGCATAGCTGGGTGGAATAGCGCTGCGGTGAGTGGCATCCTGTTGATCCTGTCACCTGGGTGGAATAGCGCTGCGGTGAGTGGCATCCTGTTGATCCTGTCACCTGGGTGGAATAGCGCTGCGGTGAGTGGCATCCTGTTGATCCTGTCACCTGGGTGGAATAGCGCTGCGGTGAGTGGCATCCTGTTGATCCTGTCACCTGGGTGGAATAGCGCTGCGGTGAGTGGCATCCTGTTGATCCTGTCACCTGGGTGGAATAGCGCTGCGGTGAGTGGCATCCTGTTGATCCTGTCACCTGGGTGGAATAGCGCTGCGGTGAGTGGCATCCTGTTGATCCTGTCACCTGGGTGGAATAGCGCTGCGGTGAGTGGCATCCTGTTGATCCTGTCACCTGGGTGGAATAGCGCTGCGGTGAGTGGCATCCTGTTGATCCTGTCACCTGGGTGGAATAGCGCTGCGGTGAGTAGCGTCCTGGTGCTGATCGTTGTAGCTGATTAGCATTAGGACGCTGCGGTGAGTAGCGTGAGGAAGAATCTTTTCCAAGGACCTCTCGTCCAAGGATTGCAGATTTTCTTTCGTCGCCCCTCTGGTCTCTCTCCTTTTCCCACCCCGACCCAACCCAATCCCCCGCAACCCTCCATGTGCTACAGTTATCCCGACCATATCCCCTCTCCCTAGCACTTCCTCCCGCCCTCCTCCCACTGCTCGCCTCACACCCCCGCTGCCCAACCACACGAAGCCCCCCATGCCTTCTAATACGGCACCTCCCCCCCCCTCTCCCCGCTTCCTCTGCGCCTCCACCCATCCCCCCGCAACGTCCCTATGTGCCACGTCTTCTCTTCTCCTGTGCCATCCCCTCGCCCTTCGCCCCTGCTCCCCCGTTCTCGCCCACTCTTCGTCCTCATTCCGATTCCCCCCTCCCCTTTCTCGGCCCTCCTCCACCCATCCCCCCGCAACGTCCCTATGGACCATGTCTTCTCCTATGGCATCTCCTCGCCCTTCTACCCCTGCTCCCCCCTTCCTCATTCCCCCCTCGCCTCCCCCTCTTCCCCCTCCCCCCTCTCTCTTCCCCATCCCCCAGCAACCCCCCGATGTACCACGTCTTCTCCTGTGTCGCCGTCTCCCCCTCCTCACCCCCTTCTCACCCCTCCTCTCCCTTCCTCTGCCCGCTCCCCTCCCTCCTCCTCCCCCATCCCCCATCCCCCAGCAACCCCCCCATGTACCACGTCTTCTCCTACGGGATCGACTGGCTGTGGGTGAGGAGATTAACTACCAACGCGCCAGACGAGTCGCCCAACACAGACAGCCTGAAACTGCTCGGCGTGCGCCACGCGCTCATTGAGAATTGCACCTTCCACGGAGGCGATGATGACGTGTCACTGGTGGCACGTGGCAGCCAGGCAGTGGCCAACGTGACGGTCCGGAATCTGATTGCCACGTCAGGGCACGGGATCAGCATTGGGAGTTTGGGAGCAGGGGGGGCGGTGGCGTGTGTGTCGGATGTGAGCTTCAAGGATTTGATTCTATCGGATTTGTCGAATGGGTTGAGGATCAAGACGTGGCAGGGCGGCTTGGGAATGGTGCGGAATGTACAGTACGAGAACGTGTACATGACAAACATAGAACGAGCGATTACACTAGATCAGGTAAGACCGACTCTGCACCTCCTTTCTCAACCCGCACTACTCTGCGCCGCTTTCTTTCGAAATCCTTGATTCCTGCTCATGCTTTGCTGTGTGTCTCACTCTCTTTCGCACTCTCAAATCTCCGCAACACTACTCTGATGGCAAGTCCACAAACAAATCGGCAAGTTCCATAGTGGTCCTCAAACCCCCGTATGTGTCTTTTCCCCTCATCCCCATTCACACCTGGCAGTTCTACTGTGACGACAATCAGGACTTCCCCTGCGACCCATCGCCCCACAGCGTGGCTGGCTCTGCTGTGATGGCAAGCCTGCAAAAAGTTCAGCAAGTGCCATAATGGTCCTCAAACCCCCCCTCGTGCCCTTTTTCCTCTCATCCCCATCAACACTTTGCAGTTCTATTGTGACGACAATCAGGACTTCCCCTGCAACCCATCACCCCACAACGTGGCGCTGGTGAACATTTCGTACACCCATGTGTACGGCACCGCCTCCAAGTGAGTGCCTTTTCGGTCATTGAAAAACACGTCGTTCCAGTCAACTCATAACACACCGTATGAGTCCAAAGCCATCGCCCAACAATGTGACACTGGTGAACATCTCGTACACCGATGTGTTCGGCACCGCCTCCAAGTGAGTGGCTCCTTACTCCACCAAATACATATCTTTCCAGTCGACTCAAAAGGCGCCGTATGAGTCATCCGCAGCATTTATTCGCCAACGATGGCACTTCCAAGTGGGTGGCTTTGCAGCACCTTCTCTCTTCGTGCCTCCCCCAAGCCATCGTGCTGCTGTGATCCACTCGTCCATAGTCACATGCCAAGCAAGCTTGTGCTGACCTGGTACAGTGCTCTGCCGCATTCTCTTCTCCATTCCGTTACTGCAGGTATGCGATGGATATGGAGTGTAGCGATACGGTGCCCTGCACTGGGATCTCCCTCAACAATGTCAAGCTGGGGGGGACAAGCTCAAGCACCAAGGAGCCTGTTTTCAAGAACATTCTGTCAAGCCATGCTGTGGGTGACGTGGTTCCCTTGGCAGAGGACATGACATCTTATGAGGAGTGGGGTGTGGGTACACCTACTGACGAGCAAGTAGCGAGCATAGAAGAGATGATGGCAAAATGCACGTGATCATGGTCTACGGCTAGAACCGTTGCCATGCTGTACCATAATTTGGGGTTAGGATTGAATATGGTAGACCAGCCATCATCACATTCTGATATGATGCAGGAACTTTTAGACAAAGTGGAGCCTGCAGTTTGAGTTGCAGGCCCATTCGTATACTCTATTATTATTATCTTACTGTATGTCTGATTTGTGTTGGTCACTCACACACATGCAAAAGTTTTGGCCTGTATAAATGGGAGACATGGCACACGGGAGGGGACTTTCTAGGGCAAAATTAATCAACGTCCATGATGTGGCCCATTGAATTGCGATCACACTAGCTACCAGCGTTAAATTTATTTATCTGGGAGCATAACAGAAGGTATTTTACCAGCACCGCACATTGGCAATGGTCTTTGCATGAAAAGGGTGTAATTTAGACATTCAATCAGTTCGTGCACGTGCTCAAAGAGAGTCCGCCTATAACGAGATTGATCTCATCGGGCTGCAAGGTCGAACACGAAGCCCAAAAGCTCTGTCCCCAAAAACCCCAACACCTCGCCCTCACCCTGACAAACAACTCCCCCCCCCCTTCCCCTCCACGTGATTTTCCCCTGCATTGGTCGCACTTTCCGCATGCTCCGCGCAAACTCCCTACCCGCCAGCTCCCCCATTTCTCCCCCCCGTAGTAATTCCCCCCTCGCCTGCTACACATACCTCTTGCCGCATATTCGAGGATCCTTTCGGACCTTTTTCTTCCTCTCGGGTCTCCGTATCTCCCGCACGCGCTGGCGCTGCTGCAGCACTTTAAGTACCACTCGTAGCCTTTCCCTTTCCCAGTTTAAGGAGAATTTAAGAGCCGCAGCCATGGCGGAAGCAAAGGCCTGCACCGTGCGGACGCGCAAGTTCATGACCAACCGTCTGCTGCAGCGGAAGCAGTTTGTGAGCGTCCTCCCTGGCCCTGTTCCTTCCTTATTAACGCGTTTACTCCGGGTTAGGTTAATCGTAGTAAGCTTGGTTTAGCCTGTAGGCGAATCATGAGCACAGCCGACCATACCGTGGCGCGAGCACAGTCAAGCATAGTTCGTGGCGCGCCTTGCCCGTTAGCCTTGGCCCTGCGACGTTGTGTCGTTTGAAGCTTAGGTGCGCTAGCCACGGAGCCATCAGTGTGCGCATAGCTCAATGGGAGAGCGCATTATTCTCCCTGCCTGTGTGATCGATCAGTCGGCTGTAGTCTAGACTCGGGAGTGCAGGCTTGGAGTAGTTTCGATAACAAATTCGATTCTTGTTCTGACCGTTTTTGCACACGGGTGTGGCGCGAGTGACGCGCCGTCGCGTAATTTGATGAAAAATATCGCAGAGCCTCACGGTCGCATCTTTTAGGGTTCGTCGTAGTCGCAGGAGCGTTCGTTTTGAGGTCGATCGTAGACAGCGGCGTGTTGGCGTCTGAAGGCATGTAGTCCTCGGTGTGATTCGTCACGTTCAAGGTTGGGGCGTGGCGTTTCGAACCCTAGTAATGCTAGGGCTCTGCACAAAGGAGTGTATTAGTGTTAGCGCCCACAATGGAGTAGGCGGCGGCTGGTTCAGATGGGCAGTGCAGCTCTGCATTCGAAGATCTGTTAGGTTACAGATTTACGGACCGCATAGTGGAATTGTCATTTAGGGCAGCTGGGGATGTAGCGTCGATGCGAGGGTGAGCGTACGAGACGAGCACCAGTTTCGTCAATTTTAGCCGAAATATATTATTTTAGGGTTCCGTTGTCACGCGGCTAATGAGTACCGGAAGCGATCAGGGCTCACCTGTCGTTCCCTTTCCACACTCCTCTTACCCCGTGTGACATGCGTTGTGGCGACGTTCTCAAGTCGGCTGTATAAACCCCTGCCCGTTTTTAGGTTGCCTCATGCCTATTTACTCTCGAAAAAAAACTCATCAGAAGCTGGGGCATGCCTAGGTTTCCGGGAAGGCCAGATTTACCCTTCGCAACTTGACCCTCCCTTTCCGTTGCCTTTATCGTTCCAATCGCTGCACCCACCGCTTTTGCGTTATACTCGCTTAGCAGACACTTTTTACCCCCTACCCTACCCCCACTCCCATTTCCTCCTTCCATTTTCCCCCTTCCCTCTTCGCACTCTCTCCCTCCGTTTGCTGAGCATTCGCCTCTTCTCCCTTGTGTCGGGCCATCCCTTCTCACGCCGCTCTCCCTGTCTTTCGTGCGCCCCCTCCCGTGCGTCCGCCGTGGCAGATCATCGACGTGTTGCACCCCGGCAAGGCCAACGTGTCCAAGGTTCACTCCTCCCCCGCTCCCCGCGTTTCTCTGTGTGTCTCCTCTGCAGCGCGATTTACTCTCCCCTGCTGCGTGCTCCTTTCTCAGCTAGGGCCGTTCCCGCTTTGCAGTCCTCACCCCTTCCTGCCATTTATACCGCGTCCCTACTTGCGCAGTTTGTCATTCTGTTTCCTGCGTTTCATCCGTCCCTATCCCCTCCTGTCTCACTTGCCTATCTCTACTTTTCAAAATTCCTTCGCTCCCCCGCTTTCCTTGCGCCCCTGTTTCTCCGCGCATCTTCTCTCCACAGCCCCGTCCCGTTATAATGTCCGCCCCTGCCCCAGTTCCCCCTCCCGTCTCCCTTGCCCCTCTCCACACTTCTCAACCCCTTCACTACCCCTCGCTTTTGCGCTTCTGCTTCTCCCCGCACCTTCTCTCCACTGCCCGTCCCCTTTGAATGTCCGTGCCCCACTCTATCCCCCCATTTCCCGCCCCACACCTCCCCTCTCCCCTTCTCCTCTTGTCCTCCCTGGAGTCGTAGTTGATCAAAATCACATCCCTCTGTTCCGGTTCCCCATCCCTCCCCCCTCTTTCCCCTTCCTCTCCCCTTTTCTTTCTCCCTCCCCTCCCTCCCATTTCCCCATCCCTTTCCCCGCCCCTTCCTCCTCTCTCCCCCCCGCCCCTTCCCGCTACTCCCCCCCCGCCGCTCCCTCCTGCGCTTCCGCCTCCCCTTCCGCGCGTCTCCGCGCGCCAGTCGGAGCTGAAGGAGAAGCTGGGCGCCATCTACGAGAAGAGCGACCTGTCGTGCATCTTCGTGTTCGGCTTCCGCACGCAGTTCGGTGGCGGCAAGTCCACGGGCTTCGGGCTCATCTATGACAACCTCGAGGCCGCCAAGAAGTTCGAGCCCAAATACCGCCTCGTCAGGGTGAGCAACCTAAAGGTCGTGGGTTCAATTCCGGTAGGAAACAGTGTTTTTTGGTAAATCTGTTTGGTGGTAGCAAGTCCACGGGCTTCGGGCTCATCTACGACAACCTCGAGGCCGCCAAGAAGTTCGAGCGCAAATACCGCCTCGTCAGGGTGAGCACTGAGCAGCTGAGAGGTCGTGGGTTCGAGTCCGGTAGGAGAGGGTGTTCTTTAGGTGAATCTACTGGCAGCAGCAAGTCCACGGGCTTGGGTTCATTTACGACCAGCTCGAGGCCGGCAAGAAGTTTGAGCCCAAATACCGCCTCGTCAGGGTGAGCAGCTGAGAGGTCGCGGGTTCGAATCCTGTAGGAGTGAGTGTTTCTTGATGTTTATGCGAACGGGTAAGTTGAACGTGATGTAGACTTGAGATGTGCAAATGAGGTAATGGCGTCGTTTCCATTTCCACTGTACAGTGGAGTGCCCACTCATGTTTATGAGGTATGAGTTGTCATTATGCAGGAATTACTAGTGCTCACTTATTTGCGAGCAGCAAAATCAATGTGGGCTCGCAAGTTGTCCTCCCCATGTTGAAGCTCACAATTCTTTGTAATGCTAAGTAACAACCTGGTGCTTTTTTCCCCCCTCGGCGTACCTCTTCCCTCTCTTCCCCCCCCCCTTTCATGTGTGTATGCTTCTTCGGTGGTTGTTGCTGTGGTGGCCTTGTATTGATTGGAACAGAATGGCTTGGAGGAGAAGAGGAACAAGGAGAGCCGCAAGCTGATGAAGGAGAGGAGGACAAGAGCCAAGAAGGTCCGCGGTGTCAAGAAGGTGAGTGCAGCAGCAACATCCCCCCCTTTTTTTGCTGTTTTATGCGTGTTCGTGTTTTTTTTTATTGGGTTTGTTGAGTTTAAAACTTGCTGTCTACTAACATCCATAGTCGTGCTAATTATGTTCGTTGATGCAGACCAAGGCTGCTGCTGCTGAGAAAAAGAAGTAAGATAGTCGATACTTGTCCAGGACGAGCCACACTTAGGGCAATCAAGGACTGGAGGATATATCATGGGGTGACACAAAAGATATGCAGGCTGATCCTAGCATGGTGGCTGAATTGGCTTTCTTCCATATTGCTAGTTCTAAATTTCTTTGCCAGTGCTTCCCTCTGTAATCCCGTGATAACGTAAATTGAGCCGTCATTTACGGAAATCCGTTTAATTCTGAAATATACATGCAAATTTCTGCTGCGTATATTTTTACTTACATGGTTATCGTCAACTATAGTGTACGCGTGACGTGTTAGAAGTGAAAAGATCATGACGAAGCTTCCTAGGAGGTTTCAAAAAGGGTTCGAGCTGATTTGTAGGATTAAAGAACGGTTTAGTACGGTTTACCCTCGAATCCCAATCTTGCCATGGCTGAACCGCGTCTATGCCACAGAGCGGTGGTGTGTGTGTGTGTGGTGTGGTCATGTCGAGGCAGAAAACGACGCGCAGAACCACCATGCTGGGCACGAACCGCCAGAAGTCAGGGCAAGGGGCAGTCAAGCTAGGGTGATCAAAGTACAGTGTACAGTTGTGCACCAGCTCGATGTCGAGGAACGTCGATGATTTTCAACCCTCGGATCAACGGTTCCAACCGTCAGGATTCACCGACTTCCCTCGACGTGGATCTGGTGCAGTACTTTGATCACCCCTAGGCTCGGCGATGAATCAACAGGCAGAATGACAGGCGGAAGACACGGCCTCGCAAATTGCTCGAGCAATTCGGGTTCGTAGCTTCCCACAATCGAATGTTCTGACAAACAGTACGGTTCTCCGCTTCCAATTTCGAAGCCACTCGCAACACCTCAGCAAAATGAAGAGATGAGAAAAAGCTCGACAGGTCACCTTTGAGGCGAAGGGAAAAGGTGAACTGTAGAGCTTTCACGCGCTGAACCGTCACATGTGGCCGTCACGAAAGCTGGCTCTGGGGACTGATGACGACAAGGGCGTAACCATTCCAACCGCACTTCAGGAACTCACACACCCTGAATAATTCTGAGCATCGAAATATCCCTAGATCACGGCTTCTGTGACGCAGTGTAGGCTGTGTGCTATTTGAAATGCCCTAAAAAGCAGAAGGGAAGTTCTTTCGATGGCAAGCAGCCCTACAAGGACAGTGTACAGTGATAAATGGAATCCGATTTGAAACGCATTCGCGGATCTGCAACATTCAAACGTGAGTGAGCAAGGGTCAGCACTAACCAAACCGAACTTTCTATAAAATCGCAGTTCCAGACTGTGGGAGGGAAACCAGATGATGTGCTGCACTACAGTCCAGTATACTGTATTGAAAGAATACGGGATGCAGATTCTCACGTTGTGTTGCATCATTGGTCTTGCTGTCGTTGCACTATGCACAGACCTACGCCCGAAAGTCAGGGCACGCTTTTTAGGCGTGTACAAAGTGCTGCAAAAACTCGACGTCGAGGGTTGTCGGTGAATCCTGACGTTTGGAACCTTTGATCCGAGAAATTCACCGACGTTACTTCTGTGATGGTCTGTGGCCAGCATCACGACGAAAGAACTCGGTGCACAGTTCGGTTCAAGGACGGGGTGACGCACTCCTGCGAGCCACCACTGCATTCGGCGCATCAGTCGTCACATCACGAAGGAATTTCGCAGGTGAATTTGGAGCGAAGAGGCAGTCCCTCTCAATTCCAGTCCCTCTCCGTTCCCTACCTCGCAAAAGCTGTACAGTATTTAGTGAGGTGAAGACATAGCATCAGTTGTTTCTAACTGAACTGTCGTGTTTATAACTTACAACAATCTTCAACCTGTTAGTCGATGAACATTTTTATCTTTCACGTGCTGCTACCCTCTTCTACTTATTAAGCCATGTCTGCCGCTGTCTGCCTTCCAGCGTCCACGGAATCGCAGCTGTATCGACGTCGCAAGCGCACACACAGCCTTTCCGTGGACCTCTCGCGATTTCCAGGCATTGACCACCGACAATCATCCATGTCGCACTTAATGCTCGCAAGACCCGCAACCGTCCTCGAAGCTCCCGAGACCTCGTCTCGCCACGAACATGAGCAGCGCAACTCCCGCCGCATCCCTTCTAGCGGTTCGTCCGCTTCAAATCCGCGCGGTTTGAACGGAGCTTGCGACTCGCCGTTGTCCACGTCACCAACATCGTGGCGCCCACGCTCCCCCACCGTCGTCCGCAGCCCGCACGCGGAGATCATCCGCCAGCAGGCGGAATCGGCGCAGGAGCGCGAGGCGGAGATGGACCGCGCGTGGGAGAGCGCGGAGCGCGCATCGGAGAGCGCCTCCGCCGCAGAGCTCGCCGCAACCAGCTTTACAGAGAAAGGGCGCCACGGCGGTCAGCCTAACGTGAGCGTCTGCGACCGCGGCGATAACTATGGCGATGTCGAAGATTCTCTGAGCACTTCGCCGCTAAGGCGGCTCTACGGCTCTAAGTTTGCTGCGTGGCGCTCTCTTCTCCCCCCTGCTGCATCCCGTGTCCTGACGCAGCCGTTGAATCTGAGCCGTTCAAATCAAAGACCTGGCAGTGCTCTTGAGCGACGCGGTTCTGGACTCAAGGATTATTCACGAAGCTTCCACGCAATGTTGTTGGATCTCCATCGAGGCATCGAGTCAGGCGCGCAGGAGGGAGCCTCGTCGACCAGCACCGGCGCGGCGCGCTCACCCTCAGGGACGAACGCGCCTCACAACGCGCACCCGCGTCGCCTTCATCGACGCGCCCGGTCGCTCACCAGCATTACTACCTCCCAGGAGTTTTCCCTACTCGAGGACTCCGCAGGTGTTCTTCCCCAGCCGTCCGATCTTCAAAAGTGTTCCAGCAATGGCGAGGATGCGGCGCGCCGCGAGGGACATGTGACGGAGAGCGCCGCAGCGGGAGCGGGCAGCGGAGCGTCGGAAAAGGTCCCATCCGCCGTCGTCCCGTCGTCGAACGGCACTACTCAGTTCATCGCCCCACGTGATCGTAGGTTGGTCAAGCGGTGGGGAAGCGCTGGCTCGATTCCTAGGTCTTCTGCCACACAATTGGCCGGCCGTTGCAATACATGCTCGAGCCCTACCAGCCTAAACCCTCCTAATCTGAGCCCTAATAACCTTTCCACAGGCGGCTCCACGTCTCCCCCATCACCCGTCCCCTGCCTTGTGCGGCGACACACCAGCGCTTCCCCCTTTCATGGGAGTGGCGCAAGCGCTGATCTTTCTGCCCCAGTCCACAGGCGGAAGGTGTCGTTCAATTCTGTTGTGCAAGTTAGAGTCTACATGTGTGCAGATTCATAGTTTTTTAAGTTAGGCTGCAGTATCATTAGTTCTTGAAATGCATTTTGAAAGGTTTTTCATTCGTTTCAAGTCCTATAATGAGGAAGTGAACATGTTTGTACCGATACATGAACCCAATCCCCTCTATTAGTCCAGCTATCTCCTCCCTCTCTCGGATGACCAGCGACCACATCAAAAGTCGGCCTTCAGAAGCCATTCGCCACACAGGTGGCTGGCAGCGAGACCACTGGGTAGATTGAAAAGTCGGCCTGCAAAAGCAAAGGCAGGATTCACCAATGGTGTCCCATCCCATCCTCATGGAAAACCATTACACCACGTGGAATGCTGTCTGTTCCGACGAAGCATGGGCCCGCTTGATTGGACAGCCTGCTTTACCTGCCAGTGAAATAGGCAGAGTACAGTTGTGGCTTCTGTAAGATGTAAAAACTCCACTGCGTGCGACCGTTCAAATCGATACAGAACGTCACTCGCAATTTCGTAGACCGCATTTTCGTGTACACGGGCACAGGCCTGGACGAGACAAGGCTCACAACTGGCTCCTCGGCGAACTGTACAAGATAAAATGGGTGAGTTGACGGTTATATACTATTGTACGAGGAACGGAAGGGCCGTTGAGAGGAGGGGAGAATTGTAGAACGACCAATGAAGCATGCCAAGCATAAAATTTGGGTTGCGGCCTAGATTGGAAAAGGCGGCAAGGCCAGTGAGGCCATTGGCAGAGAAGGAAGAGGGGGGGAGGGAGTGGGGGCGGGTTGTGGGAGAGGAGCTTGGTTTTCCTCCGCATTAAATGCACGGACCTAGTCCTTCCGCGTAGCTTCTAGCGGCACCAAATGTAGAATCTCTCAATTTGCTGGGCAGAAGTTGCCATGAAATCTCGCTCAAACTCTCAAATCTCTCAAATTGCTGCCCCGCATAACTAGTGCGCTGGCTGATTTCCTCTCGAGGCCGGATTTGGTCCGTACAAGTTGTGCGGACATTTGCCTGGCGATGCACGATCTTGGAACCTTCACCACGTTAAATTAGTGCGCCACATCAGTAGTGGTCTGCAGATAGAAGCGTTAAATTTGGCGCGAACAGGTTTGCCAGGAACGCGCTTATCACCAAACCTTGATAGGCAGAAGCCCACTTATCGGGGAAGATTCTGCGGACCCAGTTTCTGGCAATTTAACGCCTGCAGAACAGCGCCACCGTGTCCAAGCGTGTTCAGGTCACCTGTAAACAAAAGGTATGGAGGAAAACCAAGCTCTAAGCAATAAGGGCTGGCCAAATAATTTCTGTCAGGTTTGTGTAAACATCGATGTCCACCAGGGCCCAGTTTGGCAGGCATTGTGTGCATTATGGGCATTATGGCCACTTTTAACGGGCCCACAAGAAATGGGGCCTCGAAACTGCCGCGAAATCAAACTGTAGTTGCATTCAACCTTCGAATAACGGCCCGGAGTGTTTGGCTGGCATTGCATCGCTCAAAATTGAAGGCATCAACCGAAAATCCAACTTCGTTGAAACCGCAGTGCACCTCCGCGCCAGGATCGCAAAACACTGTGCTGGCAGGTCGGGCCTGCCCTGCAAACAAGTGGTCCCCTGGAAAAAAAAACCAACGGGGAAACTGTGGTTGAAGGTGGCTTGATAAGGTCGATGTACAGAGGGAAGAGAGTGGAGTTCAAACCCTAACGAATGCGTATCTCTGTCGAGTCGTTAGTGA